GCTGTTGCACATGTGTGCATGCCATTTTCATTTATCAGGCCTCGTGTGCGCTCAGCTCTTAATCTGTACAGTACACACACAGTAAACACAACAGCAGGAGCTACAACACATGCCACTTACAGTGCAGTACAAGAAATATTAATTTCATTATTAAATGTAAAATATTTGTGTACTTTAATAAAACATTCAAATTTAAAGTTTGATTATCTATTAAATAAAACTAAATTAAATTTAACTATATTTCTCTGTTATATTTAAAAGGTTTAATTGTAATATACCACCGTATTTCGCCAAGTGTAATGCATAAAGACTTTCCCTTGATTTTCCATTGTTGTGTGCTCAGTGTTGCTGGAGTGTTTATGTTATAATTGAAAACGTTAACTGTTTTTAGAGGTGGCGGATCGGGAGTGAAACATCCTACTTCTCGAGTCCTCTACCTATCATCTGCACTCCCGTGCTGAAGGCTGTTCATGTCTTATGCTAAATTTTAATTGAAACCTGATAGACGAGGAGCTGAGATGCAGCCTAAGTAGCTTAAAATGTGATTGGATGCTGTCTGAGACAAGCTCTTTTATAATGTGCCTTAATTAATTCAAGATATAATGCAAGTCGAAGGATTAAAGAGACTGAAGTGCAGCAAGCCAAGTGTACATTCAATACCAATTAAATGGCCCAGCTAAATGGAACTTTATATTTTCCTGACAGACTGAAACCTTAAGCCAACTACTTATTAAAATAAATAATATTTCTGAATACTCAGCTTTAAAGGCATTTATTGGTGGACAAGAATCGAAGAGGAGGAGGGTTAAAGTCATTGCCATTAGCTGACTTGTTCACATCTGTTTTTACATATGTATTACTTTACAGCTCCTCCTTAGCCCCTGGCCAAAAATGCTGTGAATAATGCTCCATTCCTCCAATTCAAATTCCACATCTCGTATTTCCGAGTGTGATTCGAATGTGTGTTTTGTATAAATCTGGCTGGCGTGTTTAACATTTATCCTTGCGGTTCTGCTCCACTCCGCTTGTCCTCATTTTAATGTTCTTCACATTAGTAGCAAATTCAGCTCCATCCATACTGCGATATATGCAAATCTCGGTTGACAACCCTCGGGCGGAATTCTACCCACTTTCAGTTGGTTCGGTAAAAGTTTTATGCGCTTCATTCGTTTGCACGGATGCCGTTGTTCTGGTTAATGCGTTTGACTTTTGTTTGTAGTTTACTCTATGAGAGAGACATTTCGGGGAGATCAGCTAGAAAGTAAACCCAAAAGTAAAGTAAAGTTACGGAGGAATCAACATTTGACTATTACAAATATCATTCTTAATTATTATATTATTATAAATATCTAATTTTTAATATTAACTAAGATTTTAAATTCTTTGAAAATTATCATAAATGGGATTATTATATTTATTCTAAATCATACTTAACACATTTATATTTTCGGCAAATATAAACAAATATATAGAGCATCTGAACAGCATTCTTAGCCACTATCCTTAAATGCATATCATGACTGCATATTCCTTGTATGACTCCAGAAAGTATGCCAGTGATTTTGGATTCGAACAGCTAGCTTAGCTTGTAAACATTTGCACAAGTCGCTTAATTTGTTTATGCCAAATAAACACGACTGGGGGAAATAATTAAGAGCTGTCGAAGGATTTTTCCAAGAGCGAGCAATTTAATTGCGATGCAAATTGAATGCAATCTAATGCCTCGCTGACTCCACAGAAAAACTCTAATAAGATAAAAGATACGTAATTCGTGAGTGGAAGAAGTAAATTATGCACATGACAAACTTTGCCCGGGGCCAACAAATTTTTGGGGCCAGAAACCGACTTGACACAAAAGTTGATGTCTCAAGTGTGAAGTGAAATATATGAGGACCCAGTAGATATGCCCCCTTTTTGGCCCCCCACACATAAGTGCAGTTTCCGCTTTTGACTGTGCATATAAATCTTAAGACAGTTAACGACATCATATGGCAGAGTTGGCTCCCAAGGATGAACTTACAATGCATATGCCACAGCCGGAAGTCCCCTCATCCCCCAGAGGGGGTGCAACTTTGCTGCATAATTGTGAGGCGGAAGGCACGGAGAACGAAACGAAACGAAAATGTTCGCCCAGCCAGTTGAGGAAACCAATTTGTGGTAATTGTCGTGAAATTGCAATTTCTGCAACTGTAATGGCCCACAGGAATGACAGAGAGATGCACCGAAAGTGTGAGCCAAAAGAGGAAAAAGGCGGACGGCAGTGACTTCACTTAAACGAGATTCCTGCCATTTGGCGACACTCTGAAGGTTCTGGTTGCTTGGTCGCCGCCGAAAAAGGTGAAAATGATAAACTGCCTAAAGACGAATTAATGCGGAGATTGCACCGGCAGTGGAAATGAGCCGTAACCCGGGAGAAATGAGGGGATTCCACATTAAAATCGAAAAGGTGTTCAAAAGTATGCAATGGTTTCAGAGAGACGGCGTTACATTTTCACTGCATACTTTTAAACACCTTTACTGCCTTCAAAAGCCTAGTGATTTCTATTACTCATCCACATTCATCCTTTAAGAAGCTTAAAATAATATGTATGAAAACTACCATCTATTGCCAAGCAATTTAACGCACATCAGTTTGCGAGAATAAAAGCAAATTCTTGAGGGTTTTATTTTTCGCCGCCCTCGACTTTCCCCAACACGCTTTTATCAGCGCTGAAAAAATCACGTGCGCATAAAACTTTCCAATCAGCGATGCCAAATACAAAAGAGGTCCTTAACAAGCTGCTCGAGTGGGGGAGCAAGAGGACTCAGGTGCCGGCAATAAGTTTTAACCTCCTTTTGTCATAGCCCTTTTCCTTCGAACCTTCGTGCCACTCGTATCTTCGCTGGCAAAGTTTCAACTTAAAATGGCAAATCCATACAATAAATATATAATATGTTACTTCTTGTGTCACACCTGAAGTAACCTCAAATAAATTTTGCACATGTGCCGGACAGAGAGACCAAAAAGTGGGCGGGGTGCCGCCTGCATGGGCATGGCAAACAAAACCTGGCGAAGAAGTACAATAACTTCGTATGTATTTAGCACACAGGAATGCCTCGCACCCTGTTTCGCAAAAAAGTTTTATCCCCCCGCCCACAGATAAGACCCATTTCCAACGCCCCTTTGGGCAGGTTGAGTGCGTTCTGAGTGCCTTGGCCGGGGGTCTCCGTGGATCACCATCACCTCGCCTGGTGCCAACTCCAGGCGAAAGCAACAATTTCCAATCACTTCCCTTGCAGCGACACAATTTTCTATATTTATACTTTACGACACCCCTGCCTCAAAAAAGGAGGTTTCAAGTGGGTTGCGCAGGAACCCACTTTGCCCTAAAATAAAATATTATTACCCAGAAACCCTGGAAAAAATGCAAAGATGTTTTAGAATAAATTAGGATAAATATTTTTTATTTTAGGTAAGAACTTTTAATGTTACATTTATTTTCGCCTCGCTTTTTTGTAATAAATATTTTATAAATTATATATTAAATAGTAAACCATTACTAAGACAACCTAAAAAAATTTTAGAAATATATTTAAAATGTTATACATTTTTAAGTATAAATCGTCAGAAACATTTTCCACGACAAACTAAAATTTCAAGCTACCTTCTTCCTGAGATAGGGTATCAAAAAGTGGTTTGAACGCATGCTTAGTTTGTTTTTAAGGGAATGCCTGAATCCCCCAGTTTTCAGTATGTGTTGTCTCTGGGAAACTTTAAGCCAAGATAGGGTCGCTTGAGGAGGGTGAGAGTGTGCTCGAAAGTGTTGCAGAATGAAAAGTTCCTCTTTCTTATTGCTGCAGTTCGCCGGTTCTTGTTGCATTGATTCGATTTGTTGCGATTGCGTTTTTAGTCTTTTGCATGTGCGCTCCCAAAAAAGTTTGCAACACAAGCCCCTCTCTGCACATGGGGACCAAGATAAAGCATAACAATTGCCATGCACAAAAACTTTTCCCTTACAAATGTTCTCGTTTCGATGAGGGGAGAGATCTCAAATCTGTAGCAAGACCAAAGGCGAAGGCGATTTATTGGAGCAGTTTAAAGTTGTTTCGCCTTTACAGGTCCCAGCTGCTTACAAAGTTGTCCTCTGATTAATTCCAACTCCTTTGTACCGAGGAAATAGCCCCGAAAGCAATAGCCCAAAATATCACTCATACGCCGTGTGGCTCAGAATTTGGGTTAAATACACGCTGACCGATCGTTAAATGGAGCCAACACGCACACTCATTAACGAATTTAAGCATCAGCTAAGAGTTCATAAAAGGAAATCCATCAAACATGTGTTCACCTGTTGTAGGTTAAAGCGAGGTCAGTGATGTCAGAATTTGGCCATATTTCATAGGTTATTCATGAAATGAAATTAGTAGAATATACTAACACTGTAATTATAAAGTACCAAAAAGTGGTAAACGTCTACCAATTAAAGAACAATTTCTCAATAAAAGAAAAGTATGATTTACCTAATTAATTTGTTATTTCTTAAAACATTCGTTTGACTTCAAATTCTGGCTTGAAAAGAGCTGGGTTTTCATGCACACACATATCACCTTGGCTACCCATAAGCTTTAAAGCTGTTAAGCCATACAGGCATGGTTTCATTTCGCGTTTTTTAATGCTGTTTTTATGGTGACCATTTCGTTTGCAACTCCCGCCAGTCAGTCAGCCAGTCCGTTAGTCAATCAGTCAGCAGCCTCAGTTGGGGAAACATTTTTACAGCCCTGAATGAAGTACCGTGCAGGCCATAATAATAGTTCCTGACGCATTGGCAACTCATTAAGCCGGGGCCTTTAAACCAAATGTTTGCAGTTGTACGACCTCTTGACCCGCTCTCCCCCAACCACAATTGATATTTATGTTAATTTTACCACTCTACTTCAGCCCCGTATTTATTTTATGTTTATTTCCGTAAGCATTCGCTGAAAAACATTCTTTCATTTCGCATTTTCCGCTGATGTATTTGCAGAGCGTAAACTTTTCGTTGGCATGCTGAACAAAAAGTACACGGAGGCCGATGTGAGGCAGCTTTTCACGGGCCACGGAACCATCGAGGAGTGTACTGTGCTCCGGGATCAGGCCGGCCAGAGCAAGGGCTGCGCCTTCGTCACATTCGCCACCAAACAGAACGCCATCGGAGCCATCAAGGTGAGTTTAAAACGGGAGTCCTAACAAAAGATGGTTTACAAAAATGTTAGGCCTTAGAAATGTTATAGAAAACGACTAGTGTTTCGGAATCACTCACAAAGCTGGCTAAAAGTATGCTATGAAAGGTAAACTGCAACGTTTCAATCGTACTTCCGGTTTTATCATAGATTGTTGCATACTTTTAGACACCCGTAAACGTGGTTGATTTAAATCACTTATTTTCTCATATTAATATGGTAATACCCAGTTCTATAAAAATCGATCTATTCTTTATTAATTGGTCTTATTGGATAAAATCTAAAATGAGAATTTGAATTCACTTAAAGTAAAGTTTAAAAGTGATTCTGATATAGCTTTGAATTTCACCCGAGACTGATTAAATCGTCAAAAAAGGATCAGCGTATGGCAAAGCGATCACCTTAAAGTCACTTATCCGCTTTAAGAGCCTTATTGTCTTTGGGTCCTGTGGCGCGTGTGGGAAAAACTGTCGCAATGATTAATTGCAGTGGCGGCAAGAGTCGCGCATATAAAACACGTTTCGCCCTGGCACACATACCAAAGCCGAGTCAGCCACACACATAGCACACTCACACTCACACATGCTTACGTAGCACAGCTTCATTCCACAATGGCGGCGGCAACAACAACAAAAACCGCATGCAACTGCAAACAGGAAGCTGGAACGCAAGCAAGACGCCGCCTCTGGCAGCGGAAGAAGTCAACGGTAATCCTGGCAACCAAGTTACCCCCGCCTGCCACGCCCACTTTGAAGCAAGCACACACACACTCGCACACCAACAGAGACTAATGCAAGTTTTGTGCCGGAAACAGGCAAAATTACAAACTTCCGACAGCCAAACACAAACACATGCAAGGAGTGGGAGAAGGAGAAAGGGAGAGAGAGAGAGAGCAGGGCAGTCCGAGCATGCTGTCTCTGTTCTGTGTATATTGCACATAATTTGTCGCCTTTTGCAAGATGAATGTTGTTGTGGGCGGGCGGCCATTATAAAGCCATACATGCATAGTGCAGCATACAGATACAAACGCACACTCACAATCATGAAGAAAGTACAGTAAAAGCAGGCTATAAAGTTCTTTAAGAAACCCTACATACAAGACTAGTATTCCTTTCTAAAACAGCAAATTAAATAGATTTCGAGTTTATCTAAAAATTTCAATTTTGTATTCAACTAAAATATATAAATTGGTTTTTTATTCCTAAGCTTCGTGTGAATAAAGTCTACATATTTTAACAGCTTAGTTTATTTTCGTTTAAAGTATTAAGTCAATACATATTGCATCAACTTTGTTTGCAGAATAATTAGACGGATTTATTTATGAATAAGTCATATTTTCGAGTAAATCAAATCTTTTACTCTTTTAAAGCAAAATTATTTTTAACGCACTTCATTAAACTGAGTTTATACTGTAGCATTATCTGTGTTGGTGCCAGCGATTTTAATGCATTTGAAGTCAAATTACGGGATGCTAGGCACGCACACGCCAGCAATGAGCTGGGGCCAAGAGGTCCAGGGATCCAAGAGATATTAAGCTGGAAGAGAAACCAAAGAGGAAGGCTGGCCGGTTGCAGACCAAATGATTTGGATCGACGCAGCGAAGCAAGGGTTGCAAAGTCATCGCAGTCTATTGACGCCTGAAAGTATGCAGCACCATCAAATGCAATCCAAAAGCGATGCAAGTTGCCCATCAAAAAACGAGACCCCAAGCCAAAGTCGCTCGAGCTGAAGCTGCTGGCAAAGTGCATTTAATATTAATGTGCCATGTTTATAGCCCAGCAATTTGTTCTCGGCTTCTGCCCCTCCATTAAGTCTCTTTTTCTTTGCACAAAAAGCCGAGTGAAAGCAAAAAACACGAGGAGGAATGGCGAGTGGGTGGGTGGGTCGGCCAAATGATGATAGCATTTTTCAACGCATGCAGATTTTATTTTTCGCATTCGTCTCGCTAATTTGTCAAGTGGTTGGCGCTGAGTCCAGGCCAAGTTGGGAATGCGGTCGAGTCTCCAGTGCTCACTGTTGCCCAACGGGTCATTTAACCCGTTTTTTGCTGCTTTCCCCCCGGAGGAAGTGAGTTGTCGGGCCAAGCTGTGAAAAATGACTGAGGATTAGTAGGTGACTTGGGAATGTTTCCAGAAAAAGCATATAAACTCAAGTGCTTTTAACTATCAAGGAGTTAGGAATGTAAAAAAATTAAGGAAAGATATTGATTGCTTAAAATTTAATAAACTAATTATAAATATGTGATTTTCCACTATTCAGTTTTACTAAATTACTAACTAGTTCCAAAATTAAATTGACTGACATCAAAGAGAAAACCTGTAATTCCCCTGATAACATCCCTTACCTAAGGTTTCCTCCTTGAACAACCACAAAAACTTCCCTAGAGACACCACCCACAAATTCGCGACATTTAGAGGTCGAAAACAGTTTTGATAAGTTTTATGGCAACGGCAAGGCGGCTTACAGCAGAATAATGACGCGCACTTAAGCCGCCTCCGCATGTCCACCCGTACAACAAACCAACATACCACCCACCCAACCACGGTAACCCACCACCCTTAGATAGTTCAGCCCACACAGCCATTTGTCCGCTTAGGCGACTTAATTTACACCTTTCTGCTAAGCCCGAAAACAAACAAAAACGGGGTCGAGAATCGAGGAGGCTGGCAACCCTGGGCGCATCACGAAAACCAGGACAAACATTTAGCAAAGGCATTTAGGCTGCGGTCTGATGAGGGGCTAACGGGCATTTGGAGGGGGAAAGAGGGGATAACGGGGAACGGGGGGCTTGGCAAGCCACTTTACTTATTTTCCGGTTTATGTAGACTTTATCATTGAAACTCAGCCGGGGCTATGGCGACCCGGGCCGAAACTTCCGCTCAATTGTGGCGGCGGCGGCAACTCTGGCCTGCATCCCATCCTGGCCGCCTGTATCGTGGCAGCCACCAGAAGTGCTCTTTAATTACATTGACTATAATTCTTGCGGCTCTGGCGCGACTTTTATGGCCGGCGCATTGTTTTGCCTCACTCCTCTTCTCCCTTCACCCATCGCGACCCTGCTGCTCTTGGCTACAAAGTAATTAGGGAAATTTCCGAGTTTTTAAACAGGTCGCCATGGCTGCACAGTTGGAACGCAGTTTTCCGCGTAGTGAGGCGATTGGGATGCAACGCATTTTTTTTTGGCTTAGAAGGGCCTAAGAACCGTATTTCAATGACACAGAAAAAGGCCGTAGTGAAACAGAATTCTAAAATTACAATTAGAGAAGAAAACGTCCATAAAATTAATTTCAGTATTTTACAATTTTAATCAAGAAATTTAATTTAAAGGAAATTGTATCCCAATTTATAAATGTAAGGAATGTGTAATGGATATTAATAATATCCACAGGGAATATAATAGAAAGCCAACACTGCGTATGTGTAATAAACTTGTAATACTTCTTTTATGAAATTATTACACATATGCAAATAAGAGGTTTAAAATAAAATAAAATAGGCTAATAAAAGTCTTCAAAGTGGTAGTGCTATAATTAAATAAATCTGACTGAAACTAGTCATTTGGTGTAATGCCAACGCGGCGTATGATTAATACCAAAAAACACCTAATTTATTTTCATAAATATATAATTATAATTAACTTAATTATTCTTGGTCCTTGCTCTTAATAGTGTGTGTATTTATAAAAAATATTTTTAAATTTTAATTTATTTTATATTTTTTCATCTCTTCAGTCCCTTCACCAAAGTCAAACCATGGATGGTTGTTCGGCTCCGCTGGTCGTGAAATTCGCAGACACGCAAAAGGAAAAAGACCAAAAGAAGATGCAGCAGATTCACGCATTCTGCGGCATCAATGCGCCAAGCGGAGCGTCTGCAGGTGCGGCCACGCCCACAATTAATGCGGCCACCGCGCTAATAGCCGCTCCGCCCTCGGCGGGACGTCCCAATCCGTCGATGGCGGCCGCCCTGGCCGCTGTGCCCCAGGTTCAGCAGGCTGGAACTGCGGCTACGGCACAAACCACCCTCGTTCCGCTGAGCTCCTCGACCGCCCTCAGTGCGTCCTTGGCGCCCAATCTCCTCGCCAGCAACGCCCACCAGGGGGCGGCCGCCTACTTGGGGGCGGATCCCGCAACGGCGGCCCATCTGCAGCTTTACCAACAACTCCACGGATACGGACTGAGTCCAGCGCACTATCTGCCAGGTGAGTGGATTCCGCGGAATAAGTTACAGCCTAGGTTAATCTGTTAGGCCTCGATTCCCAAGCCCCGAAAAAAATCAAACCCAAACCAATTTGATCAGTTTTAGTCACAGACACAGATTAAATCCACAGCGTTGCATCTTCCCTTCTGTCTATCTCGCTCTCTCTATATCTTCATTCTATCTGTCCTTGTTTCCCGCACACATCTGCCCGTTGTTTTCTCCGTGTGTTTTACTCTCTGTTTATCCCTAATTATTTCAATCGCGCACTCTATATGTTTCTCTTATGCAACCCAACGGATAAGTGTTCTAAAAGACTTTTGTTTTACGTATACTTAATTTTCTTGTTGTTCTCATTCATTTCGATTTCTTTTCGATCTCAAAAGGAGCTACCCAATATGTGTGTTTTAAGCATTTGTGTGACCTAATTCATTTTTCAGGCTTCTAAACATAAATTGAATGAGCTGTTAAACATTATCTTATTATGGTTCTCTATGTGTGTGAAATGTACTGTAACTTTATATTTTTGAAAGTGTTCTTATTATGGCCTATTATAAATCAGGTATAAAAAAAAAATAGTTTTTAATTGGGTATCTAGTTTTCAAACGTTTAGAAAACTTTTTTCTTTAATTACTCAGTAAAAATTGGGGCTTAAATTAATAAAACAACAGGTTAATAAAGCTTAGTTTGCTCCAGTCATTTGTTTTGACATTTAACAAAAAAGTTCAAATCTCTCTCCTTTTTTCGAGTAACTTCATTTGTAACCTGCAGATTTAAGCTAGGCAAAAATAAAAAAAGTAAGGCCAGCAAAAGAGAACCCAGCAACAACTGTCAAATAATTAATTTCAATTTAAGCAACAAAATTTGCATAAATGCAGGCGAAAGGGACGGAAGGCAAAGTAAGCCGGAAAAGTTGGGGATAAGAAAGGAAGCGCGGCCCAGCTCTTCAGTCGCCTGATGAATAAAACAAAAACATTGTAATAGGATTAAAAGGTGGACAACGACAATGACGAGATGACACGATGATGAGGATGATGGCCCAGACGGTTCCCAGATTTCTGGCCAACACACAAACACTGAGACTCAGTGGCAGGGGCGACAATGTAAACGTGTTGCATATGCAACGCCGCTTCATTAGAATGACCGACGTGCCACGCCCACCCCGCCCCCTGGGCAGTCTCGACGGGAACGTGGACATTTTGCGCATAACAAATCAAGCTCGAGAGCTTGAACAAACAGCAAAAGCCAGTGACGAGGGGAAAAAATGAGATAAAAGGGGAATCACAGACAACCAAATGTTGAGCGGCGCGTGATGTAATCGCACAAAGCGCAAAAAATCTGACACTGAAATGGTGATTTCGGCGTGGACGAGATTCTCTAACAAATACAGAGTTCGGTTGTGATACATAGAAAATGATTTTTTTAACAAATTATTTATGAAAAAATAGTTTGCCTTAGTTTATAAAAATAAATTGAACTCTTCACTACAATAAAATTAATTTGTAGATCTTTAAAAATCTTTAGTTGTTCCTATAGATATGTCAAAATCTATCCTAAAGCTGACACATCCGACCAAGAAACAGGATATACGCTAGGGAATTGGTCTGGGGAAAAGCGACAAAAGAAGGAGGAGGCGGTGGCCACCGACTGACGGCAGTAACTGTAAACGGACAGTGAGGGCAACTGCTGGGCAGTTAGGGGAACTTAGAGCGACGACGTATGCCACTTGAATAACAAATGACGTTTTTAAATGCCAGATCCAGGAGGTAGACGTTGACCGAAGGGGTCAGCAAGGACTCAACGACTGCGAACTGTGATGGCCAGCAAATGTATGGAACGTGTCCTCTGCGCTCCTTCGTTTCCTTTATTTTTTCTATATCTAAGTGCCGAATGAAACCGTTAAGTGGATGCGGCAGACCTGTAAACGTTTGCTGATTTGACCAATTTTGCGAAACCAGAGAGACAGAAAAACATTATTTAATTGTGGCTTTCTAAATGGTGGCCAATTATTTTAAGGGAGAAAATAAGTGGAAAATATAAACCATTTAAGACAAGTTTTTAGAAACAAAACAAAGTAATTTCCAAATATAGATATTTGTATAGCTTTTCAAATGACTTACCTATAAAGCGAAATCCGCAGGGGAATACCTGAAAAAGGAGCTCTTTTGTCTACCGTTTTCTCTGTTTTTCTTCGGCCATTTTCCGACTTGAAATTTTTATAAGTCTTGCCAAAGGCCCCAAGGGCAAAAGGCACCATCAAAGGTGGCCGAAAAGAAGGGGCCTCATAGAGGGTATGGTGAGTGAGAATGCCCCAATAGCCGGAGGCCTGGCAGGTAAACAAATGCAATTCCAATGTGGCAACAGCAACAACCTAAAGTTGTCCGCAGGTGAGAACACTTAAAGTTTTATTATGCCCACAAAAGGGGGGCTTTCGCAGGGGGGCGTGGCATCCATGGATGGCCAAACTATACACAAGCACACATATACTGTGTTTATACGATGCCGAATTCACGCTATCATTTCACGCTTTCGGCCGATTCGTGCTTGTATAAACGCCATTTCGTGAATTCGGCAACACACGAAAGTTGACTATGATTTCAGCCCAAAAGCGTGATTTGGTGATAAGCAATATGGTAACTCTGTAAAAAATGATCGACGTTGCCAGATCGCTAGAAATTGAAGGCCTTTTATAGGCTATTTCTCTAATCAGTGGTATTAAAAATTATATATTTTTACCGGTCCGGCATCCCTATCAGCTGAGAGTGAATAAAAGCATGAATTCTCGGCTGTCGTATAAACAGGGGTTATTTCTAGATCGCGCTTTTAAGAAATCGTGAATCTCATCGTATAAACATAGTAATAGAATATAAAACCATCCACTGGCAGCTCATTCAAAGCGAGGAAGCAATTTGAAAAATATTCCTTAAATATGCTAGACAATGCCCGGTTCCTTATGTGAATGTCTGAGCTCATATCTCTCCCTCGCACACATACCACACCTGCCTGCTCTCTCCCTCTCTCTCTTTCTGTCTCTGTGTGTGTTCTTAGGATTTTTGTTTTGTGTAGAACAGCTTTCAATCTTTGCCAGCGCCGCCAAGTATGCAATATAAAAGAATAACCCAAGCCGGAAATCGGAAACGGAGAATTTTTCATTTCCTTTTTCCTTCCGCCAGAGTTTTTAGACTTTTAATTACTTTATGCAATTAATTTACATGATTTTATATAGTTTATATCTAACTGCATTCGATTGATCTGATTTTATGTCTATGCATTTGTATGTTTGATTTTGTAAACTTTTTATTTATTTATTATAATTTATATTATTTTTATTACTTTTAAGTTTTCGTTATCTGTTGATTTGTTTTTATTATTTTATTTTGTTTAATTCTTACTTAAAATTAGAAATTTATTCGTACATATTTTTTTAAATTACCTTTCTTTTTGAAATGTACTTTCAAATTCTCCAATTTTCGACAATTTTTAAATTTTTTTTAAATATTTATTATTATTTTTTTTATTTATTATTTATTTATCCTTTTTTCATTTATTGTATCCCATTTTCATTTTGTTTTTGTTTTTTCCTCCCCTTTTTGTTTATTTTCATGTTTTGTTATTTTTCAAATTTTTATTTGTTTTGATTTGTATGTATTTACCTAAAATTTACCGAATCGAAACACAAAAAAAACCAAACCAACAAATTAAATCGAAATTAATTTTTATAATTTCTTTGTATATGTAAATAATCCAATTGGGTGTGTGTTTTCTTCTATGTTTTTTATATATAAATATTCGTTGAACATTATTTGGTATGTCTATGATTGACTCTGTGGTCATGTACAAAAAAAAAACAAAACAATCAATCAACTCAATCAACCAACTCAACCAAAACCTTAAACCATAAACCAACCAACTCAAACTGTACAAAACAAAACAAAAAAAAATAACTATGGAAAATCAGGACTAAATTTCCACCACCCACCGGAAAACAGTGCCCACCACAGCCAGCACAGTCCCACCGTCGGCGCCGCATCAGCAGCATCTCTATCGGCTGCAGCAGCAGCAGCAGCATCAGCAGCATCTCACCCACTTGGCGGCGCACCACCATCCGCACCCACACCACCCACAAGCGGCCTCCATTCCGCCGGGCATGCTGCTGGCGCTGGACTGCTCGCCGCTCCATCCCTGTCTATGCAGAATCTGGTAACCCTGCTAGCCACGCCCTCCGCCCACCACCAGCTGACCCTCCATCACGGCAGCAGCAGCAACAACAACAGCAGCTCCGCCAGCAGCCTCCACAACCACCAGCGACTGACCTACGCCGCTGCACCGCCACCACCGCCCACGGCGACCACCTACAACATGTCGCAGCTGATCGGTCACACTGCCACGCCCACTCAGCAAGGGGCCGGCGGCCAAACGCTGACCTTGAACGCGCTGTGTAAGTAGATCTCGAAAAAGTAGCTGTTCCCAGTAGTAGAATATGATTTAACTCAAAAGTTGACAACTCTGATTAATGCCAAAAAAATTTAAATAAACTCAACTATAACTCGTTTTTCAAAAAAAAATTCACTTACTTCAATTAATTTTTAAAATTTTGACAAATTTTATTATAACAATTTGTTTAATCGATAAAATAATTAAAAGAAATAGGTATTTTTATTTTCCTATGCCGTTTTAATATTAAACTAAAATATTAAAAAAATCGAATAGATTTTAAAACTATGTATAGTTTAGGGATAAAATGAGTGTGAATATATCAATATGTATGTGTGTATTTGGGTGTGGGTGGTTGTGTTCTACTTTTTTACATGTATTGTTTGTGTTCCTTTGTTTTGTTTTGTATTGTAATCAAAGCAGAGTTTTACCTCTGGCACCTAATCACACTAATTCTAAACAAAATAATCCCAATAACATAACCCTTTCGCCAACAGCATGAGCCTACAACCTCGCCCTGCCAAGACCTATCCTACTTTAATCTACGGTACTAATGCTACACAAAACTCTTATATAGGTTCATTTAAAGAAGCTAATCTGTAACTTTTAATGTATTTTTGTAGGTATTTCAAATAATTCCAAAAAACAAGATATTTTATCGAGATATAAACTCTTTTTTTCTTTAACATTGAACTTTCCAGCAGTTGATTAAAATTTTCTGCAGGCATCACCGAGTTTTATATCTGTGTGAACATTTCTAATTCGAAATAGTCGTTTTACTTGTTTTTGTTTTTATTTTTACATTCTTCCCATCTCTGTCAATAAAAAATAATAATTTTTTTTAACAAGCAAACCGAAGTTAAATTGATAAAACAGGAAAATGGTAGAGAGGCAGCGAACAAGGAAAAAGAATCAAATCCGTGTTACTGACAACAATAAATAAATGGCGTTCCATACAATACGTTCTTGATTGCATTGGGAGAAAAAAGGAATTTTAATAAAACAACATGAAAGCGAAAAAATACGGTAAAAATATTAAAGGGAACATTTTGCGAAGTCGAGAGCAAATTTGATGGCATAGGAGTTAGGCTAAAAAATACTTCCAGCAGGGTATTTTGCTATTTAATACCAACATATCAAAAGAATTTCTAAGACGTGGAGATTGTGCTGCTTATTAGATGTATAACTTTAGCAAATGTTTAATGGTTCGAATAAAGCAATCTAAAACTTATGAGTAACTTTTAATCCCTACCCCAAAGCTTACATTTCCAAATGCATATTTTTCATTTACCAATGAAAGTTATAAAAAAAAATTAATCATCAAAAGTTGTGCAATAAATTTGCAAACATTTTTCCACATCCCCGATTACAATTAGCTTTTCAATTAGCAACTTTTATGGATTTCGCGAGCATTAAAATTAAATTTGTTCTAAAACATACATACGCAAAATGGTTAGCATAAAAATTTGCCAATATAATTTTTTGGCCCAGCAAAAAATGCCCGCACAAAATGCAATAAAAGAAAATTAAAAACTAAAAGAAAGTAATAAATTTACAGTAGATTATGCAAAAGGAACAACAATTTTGGGCAATGCACAAAGAGAACTGCAGGGGCGCCACGAAAATGTTTGGTTCGGGGCTGGCAGGCTCAATTAAAAAACTGGCGCCACGCGGGGAAACCCGAACAACAAAGGCTAACAAATTTTTTCATGATACACAAACAAAAGGGAACAAATCAAAATAAAATTTAATAATGAAAGGACGAGGGCCACAAAAAAGTGATAAAAGAGAGCATAAAATGGCTGAGCACAAAGTGTGAAAAGGAAGACTAAAAATAATCATAAATAAAGGGGCGAAATCTCATATGCGTTAACTCAACTTGGGTTCGTTTATTGTTCAGATATGGTTTTTGTGTATGTTTGAATATTACTATATTTCTCTGCGTGTATTTCTGTGTCCCACTGTGTGTAAGTGTGTGTTTTTTTGTCCATGTCCCTTCTCGTGAGTGTTTGTTTTTTGGGTAACTTGTTCTAGGCTAAAACGAAATTTAGGAAAAAACTTATCAATACTTTGAAATCGTTCAGTTAAATAAAATTTATATTTTTCGTCAATTATTTTAATGTGCACGTACTACCTTGTAGGGCCTCCAAATGCTGCAGACCCCTATTCATCATCCCTGAGTGGACTGACAAATGGAGCCGCCTACGGAGCCGCATCCCAACCTTTGACTGCCAGCGCCCTTCAGGCGGCTGCCGCGGGCGTGGCTGGCAAACAGATTGAGGGTAAGCTTAAAATAAATTAAAAAAATTAAATTAAATTAAAGAAAATAATTATGAAAGTATTAAAAATATATAGAAAATCAATACACGTTCACTTACCTTTCATTTACAATGAAAATTTACTACAAAATAAATTATAAAATCCAATGTAAAAAAAAAAAAATTTTAGTTTCTTATAACTTTTTTGTGTTGTTCTTTCATTATTATTCTAACTCTCTGTTACCACTAAAAATTTCTTCTTCTTCACAATCAGGCCCCGATGGCAGCAATCTGTTCATTTATCACCTACCTCAGGAGTTCATTGACACAGATCTCGCGTCGACATTTCTTCCCTTCGGCAATGTCCTCTCGGCCAAGGTGTTCATCGATAAGCAGACCAACCTGTCGAAGTGCTTCGGCTTCGTGTCCTACGACAATCCGCACTCGGCCAACGCGGCCATCCAGGCGATGCATGGCTTTCAGATCGGCACCAAGCGGCTGAAGGTCCAACTGAAACGTTCCAGGGATGCGGCCAAGCCGTACTAGGCAGCTATGTGGGCTGATGTGGCCCAAATGGGCGTGGCCAAGGCACCCAGCACACCAACAATTCACAATCAACGGATGAAACTAGTGTAAACAATTGTGCCTTCTAAGCAACGTTCTGAAACCAAAGGACCAATTACAAAAATGTATAGGATAAGTGAACACAAAACTAAAGATAAATAGAAAGCTTACAAATAAAGTTCTCGAGTGCACAAAAAACTAACCGCAAAAATCAACCCTACCAAAGAAGTAGCTTAAAAGTTGCATCCTTCTTGTAATCACATTTGCTGAAAACCATCAACCATATTCATGAAATCTATCTAACTATTCAACGTGGTCGGCAAACCAATCCTACAAATAAAATAAAACCAAAACGAAATACAGAAATTGAGAGCTGCGTTGTGGCGCCAAAGTATTTTTCAAAGCCAAATAGTTAAGCAAATAAAATGAAAAACAAAAACCAATACAGAAGAGAAAACTTAATTTTTGCACTATTCAAATGATACAACTTAGAAAATTAATATTTAGTTAAAAGTTAAGGAAATAAGAATATAAATAAAATATAGTAGGGCGCAAAGAAACAAAAAACATTCGAAATTCCGTTCGTAGGGAGAAACGTTCAAAAGGAAAGCTAAAAATAATATAACTAAAAAATGGTTTAAACAGAAAACTGTTAAAATACCAGGTGAAAATTTAAAAAAAGCTAAAAGAAAAATTAGCTGATGACATTTCTGGCTTAGCTTCGTCCTTATTTCAAATCTATTTTATATCGTTAATAGTTTTAAACTATAGGTATGCAAACGAAGCAAACTTAAAAAAAACACAAACAATTTGTCCAATTTGTACTTAAATTGCACTTGATGTCAGAGGGCAAAATAAAATTGAATAAAAGTCAGACAAATTAAAGTTTGAACAATTTAGCCAGTAATAAAACTACAGTTTTACTGAAAGGTGTAAAAATATGAAGCAAATCAAGCGGTTTCAAAGATTTCTAAATAAAGAAAAATAATAAATATTTAAAAATATACCTAAAATTATGTTGTTTTCACATTTCTGAAAATATGTAAGGTAAGTAAGGCCCTTGGAACGTCTGAAAGGGGATTTCTATCCAGCTTAAAACGCAGCATTCAGCTGAGCCTCTGAAATCGCCTTAAAGAAAGTCACTATCCATCCTGCAGCTAGTTGCGTTCTCCCGGGAACCCGAGATGTGCTCGTTGAGAGGGATCTTATCACATTTATGCTATTGTACATGCATTTTTTATGCGCCAACTGACAACTCAACTGGCGCTGATAGCTGCGGAGCAGGAGGAAGCCCAGGATGTGGGAGTGGTGGCAGCGGGGCGGGAATCCAACAACGACTGCCATAAATCAAAAGCATCCTGCGCTGGCTGGAAGTCCTTGCACTCCATCCCATTCCATTTCTTCTCCTGCTGCAATTCAAATGTTGGCGTTAACGCATGAAATATGCATATGCTCGGAGTCGCCGAATGTGCAGCTGTTGTCTGGATCTTTCTTTTTTTATCCCTCTTGCTACCTGAGAACAGAGCAGCCTACTATGTTTTAAACAAAAATAGCTAGAAAATGCTAAAAAACATTTAATTTTATGTGCTATGAAGGAAGAGAACTATGTGCACATTTTTCATAAATAAATATTTCTAGTAACAAAATTCTAGTCCAAGAAGGATTTAATTATTTTTAGACATCGCAGCTTCCAACTATATAAAAAGCTATACAAAAGTATCCAATGGTATTTTTATATTATACTAATTTTATTATTTTCATATTCATCTATACTTGAGCTTTATTTTAAAACCGAAGAGTAATATTCTCTGGAAAAATTATATTTTTAAAGGTAAGCCAACCAGATTTGGCTGGAAAAATCAAAGTTGGCTTTCCTGTACTGAGCCTTGATCCAAGTAAGCATTCTTTAAACTTCAAGAAACGTGCCTGTCGTTGGGGTCAGCTCGTAGCATTATTCAGTCTGTGTTAGAGCGTGCAACTTGAAACATTACATTTTTTTCATCGTGAAAAACTTGCGAAAAAACACAAATTTCCATTGAAAATGGCCCAGCAAGGCCAGGGTGGAAGAGCCGGAGGTGGACCGCCAGGACCTCCTCCACCTCGCCCACCGAAAACGCCGCCGGGCACATCGCCTCGTGGAACGCCAGTGGCTGTGCCCACTCCGGGCGATGTGACTCCGGCTCGCGGACCTCCGCCTCCTCCGGCGACCAAACGCGTCTCGATTGGCATGGGAACGGATAGGCCGGCTTCCAGCAGAGCCGCACGTACTGTCTCGCCTCCAGCAACGGATGCTCCAGTAACAGATCCTCCTGTATCAACCGGAAAATCTCCTAGGACTGGATCATCATCTCCTGGAAAACCAGCTAAAGATACAGTTCCTTCTTCAACCCCTCGTAGCAGTCTTCCGGATTCTGGTGCGGCGGCAACGGCCAGAACAACTGTTCGGGATGCCGGTCCCTCCTCATCACCAGCGTCCACGCGTCGAGCTAGCATTCAGGATCCCACAACCCGACGATCAAGCGTTGATGGCTCTCCCAGGATATCTTTTCAGGAAGCAGGACCCTCGACATCAGCCAAAGCTAAAGCTCTTAAGCTAGCCGCCACCGCCGAAGCGGGTGCAGCGAAGCCTTCGCTGAAGGAAAGACTTAAAATATTTAAGAGGAAGAAAAAGGACGAGAGCCCGGAAACCTCATCGCCGGCATCCCGTGAGCATAGGACCGCTTCGGTAACGGGGACATCCGGAACGCAGAACAGGACCAAGACGAACCGCATCCTCTACACCACTGATGAGGAGGTGCGCGAAGCACTCATAGAGTTTTCCGTATTCATCATTTTTCTGATCCTAACATCTCTAGGTGAGTAGGGAAAATTATCTTACAATTGTGTGAATTTTCCAAATAGTTATACTTTTATTTATTTCTATACCAAACAAGCTTCTTCCCTTGAGAATTCTAGTTAATTAACAAATTTCTCCACAGTTGTATTGTCTGTCCGTCACTCTTACATGTTCTATTTCAATGACACGATGAAGAAACTGTTTACGACTCGCGAATTGGTGGTGGCTCCTTCGGTCACCGTGTGTTTTGAAAAACTGATCACGGTGCCTGATTGGTGGGACTACCTGATATATAATTTTCTGATAACACTTCACGGCGATATGACATTTTTGGACGGCGAACCAGCGGATAATAGTACGGCCAATGAGGAACCACAAATCGATGACTATCCTGACGAGTCACCTGGGGAATATCCAGGAGGTACTCCGCAGGTGGGCAGGTTGCAAGAGGGTTTCAAATATCGAGCCAGTCCCAACGCGGAGTGGGAGGCGCGGGCCAGACCTGTCCGGCAGGCGGATTCGGAAGAGAGCGTCGAGAGCGGGCAGGAAAATGTACCAGATCAACAGGATCATGCGGATGACAGTCACAGGCACAGCAATATGTCTTCACATCACCTGGAGGTGAGTTATATATACACTGAGGGAAAAAAATAACGTAAACGCGGTGTGGTAGCTTTTGCTTTCTTCGAAATTTTTCTCTATTTTAAATGTGCACTGAAGTATTTTATATAACAAATATGAAATGATTTTATTTGAATTTCTTTAAACACCGAAACATCAAATTATTCCCTTAAGATCCTTAAAAATGTATATTAAAATAGTGGTGGTTAAAAATAAAATTCATTTAAATTTAATTCCTTGTGATTACAAAATAATCACTTTCTAGGGACGCGTCTTCTTGTACGAGAACCTGCTTTTGGGACCGCCTCGTCTTCGGCAGATTCGTGTGCGAAAGGAGAGCTGCTATGTGAACGACGCCTTTATCCGATACTTCAACACCTGCTATGCGGCCTATTCATCCGGAGCGGAGGATCGCAAGCCAATGTATAAGGGCTCGCCCTACCGGACCATGAATGACCTTGATTCCACGCCCATCTGGACGGTACTTGCTTTCTACCGCACCGGCGGATATACGGTGAACTTGGACTATGACAAAGATAAGAACCTAAAGACCATCAGCGAACTGAAGGACATTCATTGGCTCGACCGGGGCTCGCGACTCTGCCTGGTTGAGTTCAATTTGTTTAACGAAAATACGGACATTTTTCAGAGTGTTAAGTGAGTTGAGAGTTATAGATCACCTGACTTCATTGGCTATACTAATTAACCTTTTCAGGTTGATAGCGGAAATTCCACCAACGGGTGGAGTGATACCCCAGGCCCACTTGCAAACGGTTAAGCAGTATTCCTTCTTCACGGACCACAGCATGACCATGACTGTAATCTACATATTCTGGTATATTATGATTGTATACTATACCATTGATGAAATCAACGAAATGCGCAAATCAGGAATTAAAATTTACATCTTATCGATGATAAATCTTCTCGATTGTTTTATATTGCTGGTAAGGAATTGAGATATATTCTTCATAACCAATATTTAGCTTTTAATAATTATTTATTTTAGGGTTGTTATCTTGCTTTAGTATACAATATTTGGCACACTTTTAAAGTTATGTCCGTCACTTCGAAAGCCCGTGCCGAATTAGCCTATCAAAGTCTGGATGTTCTGTGTTTCTGGAACATAATTTACGTTGATATGATGGCTGTTTTGGCCTTTCTCGTGTGGATCAAAATATTTAAGTTCATCAGTTTCAACAAGACTCTGGTGCAGTTTACGACGACACTAAAAAGGGTTAGTTATATATTAAAAAAAAACAAATATATTATTTCTGATTTGTAAATATTAAACTTTAGTGCTCCAAAGACTTGGCCGGTTTCAGCTTAATGTTTGGCATCGTCTTTCTGGCCTATGCCCAGTTGGGACTTCTTTTGTTCGGCACCAAGCACCCGGACTTCCGTAACTTCATTACCTCCATTTTGACCATGATAAGGATGATTCTGGGTGATTTCCAGTACAACCTTATAGAGCAGGCGAATCGAGTTCTGGGTCCCATTTACTTCCTCACCTACATCCTGCTTGTGTTTTTCATTTTATTGGTAGGTGTCTTACACTTGTTACTTTATCACTATCATTATCTTTCCCCTTTATATAGAACATGTTCCTGGCCATTATTATGGAGACGTACAACACGGTGAAAAGTGAAATCACCCAGGGACGCAGTCACTTGGGCTCCTATATCTACAGGAAACTGACAGGAATATTATACTGGATAACCCACTGTGGGCGAAAGAGACGATCTCAACCTCCGAAGAGTGATGACGATGAAAAGGAAGCTGAGCAGGACGCCACTGCCGCCCAGGAAGAGCCACAGGAGACGCGAAAGAACCTGTCGCCAGCAGAGTAATTATTTTTGAATTCTTTAAATTTTTGTACTTTATTAAGATCTTATATTGTTTTTAGACAACGCTACTTTCAGGATATTCCACCGGGAGAAAACCATGATATGGTTCGGTAAGAACTTGATCTTTAATCATTGGAATTCTTATTAATCACTTATTTTTTAGTATGAATAATCGTGTGGGCCTGCTGGAGGAAATTCTGGAAAAGTTAATCACCAATATGGATGATATTTTAAAACGCGTCGAGAAAGAACGCCATACAAAGAAGAAATAAGAAACCTGGAATTATTAAGTCATCTATTACATTTAAAAATGGGTTCTGTTGTTCAATTTTATTAGAGTTCTGTTTCTGTTAGAATTTGATTAAATCAGAATCTATTAAACAATCATTAAAACTCAGGTGGAATTTCTTTCATTTTGTAACGGTTCACACACATTTTACCAAGCAAACAATCAAATAAGCGAAAATTAATTAACTTTGTTTCCGGCAAAGCAAAAGTAAAGCAAACCAGCAAACCCACAGGAACCGAGCGCTAATCTCTGCCAAATCCGTGGGTGCTTTGTACCTTAACCATTTATACCCCTTTTCCAACTAGTTTCACACCCTCATTTATTTCTACATTTGGGCAACAAAGGCATACAAAACTTAAAAATTTAACCGGAACCAGTGGCCACGAGTTCAGTTATGCAATCCCTTATAACCGAGATGGAATTAAACTTGAATACACATGTAAAATAAATATTATTCCTAACTTATACGTAATATGTAAAATGCATTTTAAAACAATCTTTAATATAACCTAAATATAAAATAAATAACCTTTTATAAAATGGACAATTTGCAAATTCCGAGTACAACCAAAGCTTAGCTTAAGTGAGTTAAGCTACCATGAAGTCTGAGATTTTCCACTTTGTTTACAGCTCAAATTTGATAAACGAACAAACGATGCAGGCATATAAAGCTCAATTCATACAGACATAGCCACATTTATATGCCTCGCATTGTTTCGCTTTTGTAAATACAAATTGAAAAGTTGCAATCATTGCACCGTCCAAAGCAAATACACAAAGGCTGTCCATAAAACTGGGGGATGGGAAAATAAACCATTCAGCAGACAGGTGAGGAGGAGCACTTGAATGGACCCAAAAGCCCGACCCATCCAGACCAGAAGAATCACGGATTGAGAGCACAGGAGCCATAATTACTGATATGCTTTTTACTCACACCCCGATGAGCACAAAAACAGGTTACATCCTTTATTCGCAGGATGCTCCTGATGATGATGGGGATGGCGGCTCTGGATGTAATGTACAAATATGTCGGCCACTTATGTGTTCAATGTGCTTGCAAGCCAAACGGCACAAGCCCATCCGTAACGAAATTTAATGATTTATCTTTAAAATTTATATTTTTCAATTAATATTATTTTGTTAAAATATATTCTTTGTAATTACTGAGTTAATAGCAGATTAAAAAGGATTTATTTTAGCATTAAGTATAACTGTTTGACTTATTAAGTTTTTACTGTAGTTAACCAAACAACAGATTAAACGTCAATCCTGAAATATATGATTTACAACAGTTTTCTGCAAACAGCGCAATATTTAAACATAAGGATACCGAAAAGACAAATATTACTCGCTTTTCGATATTAAGCACATAAAGCATTTTTAACGAAAGGATATATTTCCGCAGGCATTTAACCATCTCCACAGATATTTACCAAATTGTAAACTTTTTAGAACGCTTCAAGATTTAATCAAAAGCAAATTAACATCACTTCCAATAGTCTTTTTTTCCTAGCAGACTATAATTCACCAATTAATAAGCTCTTATGGCCCATGGTTTTGTTTGACAAAAGAATAACAGGCAATTAAGTTAACCATAAGTTGACCACAATTAATTACCCCGATGCATAGTATGGCAAAAATAATTAACTAGTCGTTTTTTTTAAATGCAGAGAGAACTAATGAGGCATATAATGCCTATCAAGCATTTTATGCCCATATTCAATTTAAATCTGTGGAATCTCTATCAATAAGCCTGAAAATATGCAGCATTTCTGTTAAGGCTTTAAAAGCTCTCGTTGAATTTGGTTAATCAATACATTTATTCTGAATAAATGAAGGCACCATCAAGATGGAAAATCTGCAGACCAGAATTATTTGGATTATTTAATTTAATATATTATTATTATATTATAGACTATTCTCGTTAAGAAATCGTTTTAAAAAGGTTTATTTTATTTACGTATGAATAAAATGTTACAATCAAATGTTTGCAAATGATATTGCAGGCATTTTATATTGACAGTTGAAATAAATTTAGCTTATTATTGTAAGAAAACTTAAGATTTTTATTTTTTGTATTTTAACAATAAATAATTGTCAATGCAATCATGCACACCTAATACTTGTTCTCTTTCGAAATAAATACGATAAATTACGGTTGAAGAGAAAGCCGATTTCTTTGGATCTCTCAGAGATATTCTTGACGAAGTGTTACAGACTAGGGACTTAAGATTTAAGACGATGCCTAGACTAGATGGGGACAAACAGGTCTCATTTCGAAGGTTGTCCTAAAGAAAGCTTTTCAAACATGGGCATAGTTCTAATTTCAGATGGATTCACAATGAACTCCGCGTCGGGGTTATGCGGAAAATTAGGATCTGCGGCAGCAATATCGTTGACAGCTATATCATTGGAAAGGTCAATTGGCACAAAGTTCTGCTCGATATCGATTTCGTTATCCAGATCGTTTCCGATGTCCAATTCGTGATCTTGATCCTCATCCTGATCCTGTTCAAATTCAGCCCACTCATCGTTGAAGGTTTCGCTCATCACGACTGGAGTTGTAGCGACACCATCTTCGTCGTCTGAGGACTCCAATTCTTCGCGCTCCTTCTTCTCTTTCTTCTCCAAGTACTCTTTGTCCTCGTGATACTGCTCCAAATCCTCTTCATGTTTGATATCCTTTTGCACGGATGCCATCATTTCCTGCAGCTGATCCATTGTCTTCTTCTGTTCTTCCGAGAGAGTCTCCACTATTTCCTCACTGATACCAGATGCTTCGAACTCTGAGTCTGCGGGTGAGCTGGGGTCAAGTTCTGTGGTATAACTTGTGGTTGTTGGTGGAGTGGACTGTGCATCATTTTTGTGAGTTTAGTTGTGTAATGGTGCATTATGTGGGCGTGTGCGAAATAAATTAAATAAAAGTTTATATTAGCTATTGATGGTTTTCAAGGGCCGATCGGTTGGGTTAGATATTGGTTAACGTTAAGCTCAAAGAGCTCAAGGCAGCATGCAGTTTTTGGATAAAAAACTAATAAATTAATATGCCAACAAATTTTCGAAATTTCTTTATTATACCCTTGTAGAGGGTATTATAATTTCAGTCAGATGTTTGCAACGCAGTGAAGGAGACGTTTCCGACCACATAAAGTATATATATTCTTGATCAGCACCAATAGCCGAGTCTATCTAGCCATGTCCGTCTGTCCGTCTGTCCGTCTGTCCGTTTCTATGCGAACTAGTCTCTCAGTTTTAAAGCTATCGCGATGAAACTTTCCCGAAGGTCTTCTTTCTATTGCAGGTAGTACATATGTCGGAGCCAGCCGGATCGGACCACTATATCTTAAGGCTCCCAAACAAATATAAGAAAATTCATTGTAACTTTGTAGGAAGTAGGCGTTTTGATTCTTGACTACTTAAAAACAAAATTGAAATAAATCGAAACGCTGAATCTGGAATCCCTGGAACTGCACCGAGTGAGTATTCTTTTATCTACAAGGGTATATAAGCTTCGGCTGGCCGAAGGTAGCTTCCTTTCTTGTTTTTACATTACTTTTAAATGTGTTTTCATGAAGAAGCACTAACTAAATTTTATAAATTTACACGTCTGTTGGTACTCGAAAATTTTAATTTTCTTTACTTAGTAATCACCGTTTTTAAAATGAAAATGAATTGCCCTTTTATTTATATTCCATTTGAAACTCACACTATTCGCACTAGTTTATCAGTTGCCTTTGAATCTTCAACTGAGCTGCTGGCAAGTCAATCTTAAACTTTTATAACATAAATACCTTTAACAGAGACTAGAGACGAGTTGGAGCGAAAGAGATAGGCACACTAACAGCAGCTTACCAAGAAAGCTGCCTTACGAATGAGAGGCAAAATATATATCTTATCAGACTGTATTCTCTCATTTTTAGATATATTTCTCTGCTTTATGTCTTCATTCATTATTTTCGTTTTGTATTCATTGCTCAACTTGTGATTCACCTTCGTTTGCTGTTAAATCAGCATTCCCATCAGGCCCTCTCATTCACTCATGACTTGTGACGTCATATACACAATTCTTCCGCTGTAGATTTTTGTTCAATTTCTCTACAAGATCGTTAGCATTTTCTTAGAAATTTATATTATTAATGCCTATAATTTTTACACATTTGTTTATTTTTGTTCGTTGGGATCACTTGAGTTTCAGATGATTTAACGTAAGAATTTGAAAAAGGGGGTAAAGTGGAATGAAATGAAGGCAGTGGGATGGATCACTGCTGACTATTACCTTTATGCAGATTAACGGCAACTGAGTCACCTACCCAGTTTCTTGTGAATTTCTCGAGAATTCAAATTGATTGAAAATGGAATTTTTGTGGTCTGTTGCAAAAAATAAAAAATGGTAATTTACAGACCATTGAAAAGGCCAAATAGCAACAGTGCATTTGCATTTGCTTTCAATATATTTGAAATAAAAGTAATTGGTGCTAAGTTGTTAAAAGTCCGCAAATTCACAACTGTGAATTTTGTGCATTTGCATTGCTTAATTCGAAAATATTAATAAAACCCTCAGTCGTTTGTGCGTTTGTGATTATGGAACATGCTTTTTGCAAAAGCTTCAATCGCCAAATTGTTTAACAGCCTTCAACAATTTTTCAATATTTCAATGCATCTGGCAAAGGAGTTATTGCCGTTCCTCTGCCCCACCCTTCCAAACTCCCTTCCGTGTGTATTAATATTTATAACCATGAATATTAAATTCAAATAAACGCATGAGAAGCCAGGCCTCCCCCACCGCCTCCCCATTCACCCTACTCCAAACACAAACCACAACTTTCAATATCCGCGCGAGATGAAAAATAAAGTTCAACACACAAAAAATTAAAATGAAAATATAAAAACAAATCGAATGCAATTCGCAACTTGTGCGAATAGTTTTTATTTTTTCATTCCACTGGCTTCCGGTGCGGGCACGAAAATGTCACCGCTGGCATTATTTAAATTTAAAATTGCGTATTTAAACGTTGACATGTCACTTACAACTTTAAAGTTGTTAATAATTGCGCTTTACGCCGCATTGCAATTTTTTTACGGTCATTTATTAATTTCTCGCTGATTTATGCCGGCTCGCAGAAAGCAACAAAAAATTTATCCAACCGGCACTCGTCGATTTCGCCACAATAAATTCTCATAAATATAGCCCTCACCGCCCACCTGCCACGCCCACCACGAAACGGTGGGCCACCGCCCACCGCCCAAGACAAGGATTTATGCGAGCGGAGCACATGACTTTTAATAAAAATTAATTTTTATTATGGCCTAAAAGTAATTAATGGACTTGCAGCAAAAAAGGCAAGAAAAATGGTTGCATATGATGCATGTACCGCTAAATAAACGGTAACGTGTGTGACCAATTGCCGAGGTTTGGGAAAAATTGTGGGTGGCGAAAGTATGTATATAAGCCTTTTATGGAAAGTGCCCAAAAATGGTAAATCACTTTAAGTCGAAATTTTACGATGGTTTAAAGAGTAATCCTTGAATTTTTCCCTATAGATTGTCAGTAGCTACATTTTTTTTGTAAACCCTTAAAGGCGTTTAGATAAAGCGGGGAAAATTTTACCAAAAGTTTTTTTATGTTTATCAAATTTTTATTTCTAATATATAAGGTATATTAATTTAATTGTTTTATTTTAAAATGATTCATTTAAACAGAGTTTCGGTCACCAAAAAATGTAAAAAACCAATAAAAGTATATTATCAAGCTCATCAGCGAATCAGTTAAGGGAACAAAAAAATCGTAGCCCGTAAAATGAATAAACTCTTATTACCATAAACAGTAAAAAATCTCAGTAAAAACCCCTCTTAGCGTGCATTAACTTTGTCATGATTCAACTCATAACTTCATCTGTCAATTACACAACCCAGGCATATTTCAACCCCTCATCACTTTAACATTTTTTACTTATCTACCCATTTGCATAATATTTTGTTACATCCCTTTTTTCCAAGCTGTGGCCACAAACTATAATTTGTTTGCATTATTAATTTAGATGCAATGCTATAAAAAAAGGGTCAAATTACTCACAAATCCAATGAACCAATATGCATATTAAATGACTGCTGATATTAAATAGGAAGAAAAACCATCTAATTGTACAATTAAACATTTTGTCGGGTTAATAAAATATTTACGATTGCGGTTTGCACAGATTATTGGCCTGACAAATTAGCAAAACTTAATTATAGACCAAACGGAACTAAAAAAGGATTAAATTAAAAATAAGCAGCATAAAAACTAGAAAGTAGGAGCTTTAAATAAACAGAAGTAAATAAAAACTAAAAGCACACCACAACCGAACCAAATCACCAATAAGGTTTTATTTCAGTTGCATTATTCAATGTTATAATGTTTAGTAAATCAAAATAAACGCAGGCAACGTATGTATATAGTATGTACATTTGGTATTGCTTAGTTTTATGGAAAACTTTATTTAAAAAAGATTAGAAATATGTATATAGATATATTACAGGTTTATAGAAAGATCTCAATATACAATTCGCTTTATTTTAATTGGTTAGTAGAGCGCTTGCGAAGCATTTCCAGATTAAATGTTCTTCAAAAAAAGCGTGTTTCTTTGTCGTAATAAAGTTTATACCTTGGGCTCGTCAATGTCGCGCACCTCGTTATCCTGTGGCTGCTTCTCCAGCGGCTCGCGGCGATCGTCCTCGTCCTCCTCGTCGTCAAACTCCCCGACCTTAGTGGACGGGGCGGAGGTGCTGGGAGCCGCAGCAGGCTGGAAGTCGCCGCCACTGGTGTGCACTCCCTGGGCCACCTCCTCGCCACTTTCCAAAGGACGCACGTTCACCAAGCGAACCTTGAAAACACTGTTGCTGTCCCCATATACCGTCTCGTTGATCTCCACCTTGTGACCATCGACGATCTGGCGGGGAAACGGATTGGTTATTATTTACACTCAAATTAATTAAATAGATATATGTACATTGGATAAATATTTTAATACACTTAGATAATTATAAATTAAATATAGATCTGTTTTTCTTTCATGATTGTTCATCAACCACCTACCTTCACAGTGGAAGTGGTATTAGCCTTCTTGGAATCCAGTGGAATCAAGGGCCGCACTCCGAATGGGAAGCCAGAACCATTGTCATCACTGGAATCATCAGAGTCGCCAGTCCGAGAAGCTCCATCCTCACCAGATTCGCTGCCGACCACAGGCCAAAGACGGGTGCGCAGACGACGGAACAGATCTATGAAAAAACATATTTAATAAATAAATAGTTTTAAAAACAATGAATATATATAGATACTAGTATCTAACCAAAAGATACCTTTACTCAAACTTAAAAATCCACTTAGCGCAGCCTTTTTAGAATTTAATCTTAGGTTCTTGTCTACATTCTCTTTTTAGCAATTATAAGATCTGAAGTCTTTTTTAACCCTTAAACAATTTTCTAGTTAGTTTAAACTTTTAAATTATTTATCACCCTTATAAATTAAAACAAGGAAATATAAAAAGGCTCGCAAAAGTCTTGGTGAGAAAAACAGCAGGTGTCCTTGGTCTAGACTGGTCCTTGAGAAAGGAGAGACATTCCGCTGTCGTTTCTGTCTCATGCTAATGTATTTTTCAGTTTGAAAGTCCCTAATCCGTAAACGCACTAAAAAGCGTTTTCTGTGTCGCCGGCGTCTCTGTCATTTTCTTGTCTGCACTTTTGTAATCCTCAACCCCTGACTGCAACCCCTCCCAAGTCTTCTATATGTATGTCTATCTTCGCCTTAGTTCTTTGGCCTTTCCTCGTCGATTTTTTTGCGTTCTCTTCAACCTTGTCATAAATTCTTGACCGCATTGTTTGCACGACTTTGTTTTGGCCCGGTTGCTGATTGCCATTTGTCGACAAATTCATTTGCTGGCTGCATTTTAATGCGTTTAAATAGCTGCGTGAAATAGTTTACCGCTGTGGAAAAAGTTTGCCATTTATGGTTAAAAAATGTTGTTAAAAGAAGCTTTAAACTCTTATTTTGTATATAAGAATTACGCGATTCATTTTAAATCTTGCTTATGAGTTTGCGCATCCCTATATTTGATTTCTCCTTTATAAGAAACTGCTGCTGCTATATCAAAAATAATTCGCTGACAAGAAACTTCGCAGGCCACCGCAACGTTCAACTTTCTATTTGTCTATATGCCATTTTCTACGCTTCGTTATCGCTGACCCCCTACAATCTAGAAACCCCCAACCCAAAAAATATAAGACAACAAAGAGTATAACAACTTTTATGCATATACAATGCCCAGGGCTTTAGGAAGTTTTTATCCTACCCCTCGAACCGAACTCGAACGTATTAGGATAAGATTTATGAAGTTTCAGCTCCATCGTCGTCATCTGCGACGTCTTACGGTCTTAGTTAAGCAGAAATTGGCAAGAGGAGGCGCAAAACTTTTCACTTTTAATGGTCAACAGACTGGTTTGACCTACTCCACGCCCACCACCATAAATATAGAAATAAATACAAGAGCATAAATAAACTTTGTCTGGCTACAAGAACTTGACATAATATTTTGATAAATTGTTTTTCATTTCACTTCCATGGCATGGTGGGTGGGGGTAGGCAGAAATAGAGATGGAAAAGTTGAAAAGTCCCCAAAGGACAGTTGGCTAATTGACCCAGGGGATGTGCTTTTAAGCCAAGGCATTGCAACCAAAATAATAGAATACTTTAGTACTCAGCATAGTCTTGTTAAAAAATTATTTCCAAGTATATGCGATATGGATTTATAAATTATTTTCTTACTCTTAATAAGAAGTAAAAAAATAATTTATTTTATAATGATATATAAATATTTATATGCTGCAAACTCTGCTTAAAAATCACAATACTCCGCCGGATTACACTAATATTAAGTATACGTAATATGTCAACCGTTCGATCATCGTTAAGCTGAATAATAATGACGGCATTAAATGCATTCGAGACATGTAATTGCGTCGCATGCAGTTTTTGGGGCCACATTAAAAAATTGTTTAATTAATATATCATTATAAATGCCCAAGCCGATTTAACATCACATCACGCATACGCCGCATGTGACGCGCGGCACTCACCATCGAAGGAGTCGAAGAAGCCCACATTGAAGCTCGAAGGATTCGGCTGGAGGAAGGGATAACCGGAGCCCGTATCGATGACGCCGCGGAAGTTATGGAAATCCGATTCGGGCTGAGGGCGCGATGGCACTTTAATCACCTCCGCATCGTCTTGAGGGTCGTTGCGAGCTGAAAGAAAAAAAGAAGAAAAGGTTGTTTCAGTAGGAATTAAACGCTGTTAGTCATCATTAAGAGCCAAATTGGCCGGCGAAAATTGGATTGAATTAGCCAAATCAGCGGGAAACGACCCCTTTTGCCTGCCTCATTAACGCTGATTACGCAATCTTTGCTTTGCATAATTTTTCCTTTCCTCTTTTGGTCGAAGGATTATGATAATGCAAGTCCTCCTTTAACTTGACCTTTTACTGACTTCTGACATTGGGTATGTTTTGGAGAAATTTAAGATAGCATACAGTTTGATTTCAAAACAAATTTTCGCTACTTCACAAACTGGGCCAAGGTTTAATCTGAGAACCCCTAAATAACGAGTCCTTCGCCGTGATTCAGAATACGGACGGGGGAGTGCAGTCAGGTTGCAGCCGTAGATAAATTCTTCCCTCCTCCTTTCACAGTGCTACCGCTCAATCTTTTTCTCCCTCAATCTTTAGTCCTGGCATGTTGCACTTCATAAATCTCAGCAGCTGACACTGACAGCGACAACAGGCAAAACAACGCAACACAACCATCATACAACAAGTGGCCAGAGGGGGCACAAATAACACAAATCGGGGAAGAAAAGGAGCGCAGACCATGGAGCTACCCAGTATAGCGATGATCTTGATCTTTAGTAATATTATAAATTTTATTTATTTCGAGTAAAGTTCTGAGTGGTCTTATACAGCTAATATATTATTTCACAAAAAAAAAACGTCGCGGGTAAATCGATATGCGCATGGTAAATTTCTGGTATATCGTTTGTCTCGGAGATTCAAAATAGAGCAAGATAGATACATAAGTGGGAGGTAGAACCACATATTGGAATTTAAAACTGACCTTTTGATTACATTTCGAGCATATCAATTCAAAATTGATACCACATTACGTAAAATCTATCTTTCTTTCATATCAATTCATTTTCACAGTGGAAAATATAAATTTATCTTATTGAGAAAGTTTTTGAGTAGTAAACCCTGGAAAATACCTGGCCGTCACAACCCCTTCCTGAATCCAGTATACCCTTTCATATCGGACGTTTGCCACGCAACTAACGACGTTAAAAATAAGTCAAGCTGAGTTGACTCCCCTCTCCCCGACTCATCTCATCTCGGGGAAACTCTGGTCGCCTCCAGTTGGAATGAAATGTGAAATATGAAAAGCTTTATGTGCTGCGTAAAATTGCTTACGCAAAAGGCGAACGAATGTGACCCCAAGGGGTCATAGGGGAATGCGAGATACGATATGATGTCTGATTCAGGGGTGCACAAAACAAATGCACTTTTGCGGGTCCCTTTTTACGTTCGCTTTTTAAGCCGATTTATGAGAAACATACACGACGCCCGCAATATGTTTGGGTTTTTGTGGAAAAAATGTCACCACTACCCCTGCCCCCTTCTGAAGCACCCCTTAAGTCCTCCCGCCCAGCTCAAACATAAAGTGGAGCAATTGAAGAAACAAAAACAAAGACCCCAAATATGGGCCAGAGGCGCCCGGTGAAAATGGGGGTAGATTGGCAGACGTGAACAAGTGCAAATATTTACCTTTGGTGGTGCATATGAAAGGGGGCTACCTGCTGGCAAATATGCACCATGGATATATTTATTGGTGTACGGGAATGTACAGCAAGCTTATACAAAGTTATGGACATATTCCAAAAGGAGTTTTTCTGTGTATCAAAAATTTCATTGGTATATTTAGTAAGATGAAATTATATTTCCATTACTAATATTTACAATTGTCATATATTCATGTTTTCGACATTACTAAACATTTAATTTTCATGTCTTTCGCTGTTTCTTGATTTGCTGTTGCAACACATTTTAAATAGTTAGATTTTATACTAATAAAATATTGGTTAATTTAAAAAAGATAGCTGGTGATATTTCTTGAAGCTTTAAATCCAACAGTTAAAAACCAATTGCATTTTTTTTTTGTGCGCCTTTTAAGAGAATGAAAAATACAAAAGATAACCCCATCGTTCACTCCACCAACCCAACCACTCATTCATTTTTTAAAGGCTATTAATCATGCGAAACGTGGAGAACACGGAAAATATGAAAACATCTAACATGGCAGTTTCATTAATTTTCCAATAATTAAGCCCAGACAGGGGACTACAGCTTTTCTCCCGACTTTCCACATTACCACCGCTCTGCTTCTGCCTCTGCTGAATTATGGAATTAATAAAGCCAGTTGGCAGGTTTTTGGGAAGCCAAAAGGGACTGCGGAAATTTCTGCAATGCGCTGCGCTTTTGTTCTAAACACAACGAACATTTTTGTTGCTAATTATGTAAGGTTAACAAGCGACTGGGCGTGGCACTCATATATATGTATATTTTCTTTTTTTGGGCTTTCCACTTTTGTTGCCTTCCTGGGAGGCCAAAATAAAATCCCTGGCAATCGCTTGTCCTGCGTTTTATGGCGCTAATTGGCCAAGGGGCAGCAGTGGGAGTGCTGGAGTGGCTGGCTGCGTCAATTAATTAACATAATTGTACAATTTTGCATAATTTAGTGAGCAGCAATGATGATTTTGTGAACCGGACTTCTTTGTCTTGGCCCTGGAAATATCCCGAGCTCTGTGGTTGAGGCGGTTTGTTGCTAAAAATAATATCTGAGATTTGTTAAGCTTGAACTGTCAAGTATTTAGTTACAAACTAACAAATTTTCATTTAAATATTTTTACTATAATTATGTTTTTGGTTAAAATATAAAACCAATTAATGTGTTTTCTGCAATTAGATAATTATTTCTACCGAAAATTTATTTGTAGAATTTACCTACTATTAAATGCACACAAGGCAAAACAATTCGAAACATAACTGATATTCAATAACAAAGAAAATTGTTCATGTTATTTAATTAATTTAAAACATTTTACTCATTTGAAAGACACATTGATAAATTCGAGAATTTGAAGGTAATATGATATGGGAGTTTGACTAGGAATAAATGCGGAAAGATAATTGCCAACTGCCATGGTTATTTCTTCGTTGGCTGTGGAAAATTGCTGGAAAATATCAAATGCTCTTCGCATTTGCCCACTCGGAGCGCCCAAAATGGTAATTAAACCTCTGGCCAAATGTGTGGGGCTCGCTGGGATTCCATTGCATTTTGGTATCCAGGGGATGAGGCTGAGCTGGCCATCAAATTTATATTGCGGCTGTCCGGGGCAACATAGATGAGTGGCCCCAATACGCTTTTGGCCAACATACAAAATTGCAATTCGCTTTTTGGCCATCATCGATGCATGCGTTTTCAATTACTTGGACGTACGAATTGTTGATGAAATATGTGTAATACTCGCTCGCTTATTGCCGAGACAAGTTTACCGCTTTTTCACTATTCATTTGCCACTTTCCGGGTTTTCCCATTCAAAATTGCAAATTCAATTCACAAAAAAATTGATTTGCCGCTCTGGCGGTAAAACTTTTCTAATTAATATAGAAATAGTGGCGAATAAAATATGAAAAAATGATGTTGAAAATAAATACAACTTTTCAACTTTCGCTGCAGGGCATCCTCATTAAGGGTGGCCTCCCTGCCCAACCCCCTCAATTCATCTATCAATTATTTTACCATTTTGCCGCTTACAAATCAATTAAACTTTTCCAGCGAATTTTTGCCTCGACTTTGTTGCTCACTTTTGCAGTTGCATGCAATTAATGAATTTTTAATAGCCGCACTTTGGTTAATGTAAAAAGTTTTTCCCCTAATGCCTCGCGGGAAAGCGAGAGGCAGGGGCTTAGGCTACTTGTTGTTATGATTTTAGTTGCAAAAAGTTAGTTTACTATGTAAATCTTCGCAGAATCTTCTTTTTTACGCTGGGCTTCAGGCAATAACTAAAAGCGAAAAGGTAAAATTGAGAGGCTTAAGGAGTATACATAAAGTGTTTTACTAGAGTACATAAAATAGTAAAATTAATGAAGAACACGCGGCTTTTAATATATTAATTTTTTTAAAAAAATAATCGTGAAAGTAAAAATTATTATAATATGCAAATGTAATTAAGTTTAATTTCTTTTATTTACTGTAAAAATTAATTTAAATTTTAAATGATTCATCTGGAACAAAATCAAAAAATTCACCTAATTAATCGTTCACTCAGTTCTGTTCCCTCACTTTCACTGCTCCAAGAGCTTTCGCTCTTAAATTCGTATATCCGTCCCTAATTCGTTGGCCCAATCCCAATCCCGTCACAAATTAGATTCCAGCCACCCAAATCTGGAGCCATTGCAGTTGCAAGGGAGGGACAGGGACCATCAACGCCTTTAGAAGGCAGCAGGCCCGAAACCAAAACCAAATCGGAACCCAGAGAAAGGCATTTCAATCACATTCAAACATTTGTGCTCCCTTCGGCCGGAGTGTGTGGAAAGGATGTCGGGATTCCGCCTCCTGGCAAACTCGATTGTATGCAATTTGGGTTAAAATGATTTCAAATCAGTTGAAAACCACTGGCCAGAGACAGTCGGAGGAGGCCTGTCGAAGCCAAGGCAACGGGAATGGCCCAAAGGGGCGGCACATGTGGCTGGGAGTGGGCGGGGCCCGAGTGCAGACTTGTGTCACGTTCAAGAACTCTAAACAGGAGGAAAATTAGTTTGATGCCTCGCACACAGACGCATATCTACGACACTTGAGGGCCTGAAGTGGGGGTTCATGGGGCAAATGTCAACAGCAGTCGAGGCGAAAGTGAAATCAAAGCCAGCTTTCGAGCTGCCCACTGCCACCCACTGACAGCCCCAATCGAGTGAAAGTGCAGACTGAAGCTTAGTTGCTGTCATTCTCCAAGTGAAATGCCATTCAATTGACCTGCGTGATTGTGTGTGCTGCTATTTTGCTAGCACGCATTGATCACTCACTAAAAGAAAAATATATTTGAAAGTCGTTCTAAAGTCATTTGTAAAAAGTGTAGCTTGTAATTTGAAACATTTAAGTTTATCAATAAAATCTTTCACAGAGATTTAGGAAAGAAAGTG